ATGTCTCTTTTACCACTGCCTGCATCCATGACACGAGGGAAAACAACGATAGGTGTTTTGATGTTGACATCGAATTTGATGCGGCTGGTACTTTGTTGGAGTTGAGAAGCTTGATTCGCTGCAGCTTGTCGGGCGGCATTGAAAAGAGCTTGCATCTTGCCAAATTTGACCAAAAACTCAATAATCTTACGATACGGCTCTTCAAGGAAATTAACCTTGATAGAACCTGCGCGCAAGTAGATAGAGGAATCATATCCAGGATATGAACTGCCTTTAGCATCAAACGTTTCATAACGGAAATCGGCCAAGTCGTCTCCCTCAATAGCGATCAATTTTCTAAGACTAGAATCGCTGGAGGCTCCGAGGTTAACATCGTCTACTAAAGATAGATCTCCTAGCTTCGCGCCAATTCGCAAGGTATTTCCTAATATAAAGATGCCTACATCCGCATGGTTGAACGAAAGAGTAGCCAATCGAATGCCATCGTTATTGAGTATCAAACGTATACTCTTTAAGTCAACTTTAACACGAACTGACAATTCAGTGCTCTTGGCTGGCGGTGCTACCTCTTCTTCAAACGGCGACTCATCCGGCACAGCCAGTAGATCATCTGTGGTTTCCTTGGTAGGTGCAGGCAATTGAGGTGGGCCGTCTTGATTTGTAAATGTAATTAGGATGAAATCAAGTAGAGTCAATAGAGTCTTGCGAGTAACCACCAAGTTGATCGTGGAAACAGAAATATCTACATTAATCTCAACTCCGTCATATTTTGGCATGAACTCCGGCGAATGTGGATTTACCTTCACCACTTTCACGTTGATGAGGGCAGTTTCGTCTTCTGACTCCATGTCTCCAGAAGAAACTATCGATTTGAATTCAGCGGGAGGATTATCAATGAAATCATCCACAACCACGGATTGGAGGACGGTTTCCACAATCAGATCGTATGGACGAAGAACAAGATTCACGCCAAAGTTCTCAGCGACTACTTCCACCAAAAGTTGATCTGGCTTCCTGCCTTCCGGATCACTTCGATAAAGCGAGCCTTGAAGTCGTTCGACTTCAAATTTGAGCTCAAAGTTCTTTTGTTCCAGTTTGAGTTTATCACTCTCTTTGCCGCTAGAAGCATCTTGAAATTCATCATCATCATCGTCATCAGATGAATCATCTTGGAGAATGATAGCCTCTTGTCTTGAGAAGTTGAACGATGTCGATTGTGCCCGATCCCTTGGCTTTGACGAGGAGGGTGCTCTTATCGATAAAGTCGAAGTTCGGCGACTCTTCGCTAATGTCTGTGCCGGAAGTTCCTTTGCATTTACATTCGGAATAGCTGCGTTGATAATACTCATTAAGCTTTTATATTTCTTGTCTGAAGCAGAAGCATGTAGTACGGGTAGACGACCAGAGACTCTCACTTTGGTCAAGTTTGGCGCTTTTGGTATGATTGAAGTTTCGACAATAAAATCAATGTTGATCTTCTCGACAACACGCATCGATTGAGGATCTTCCTTTTCCATGACTTGTGCTTTTGTATCTTCGATGGAAGGTCCAATGAGGACTTGGGTATTGGAAAGCTTGACGACGAATCTATCGTACATGAGAGATTCTAGGCGTTTATAATCTGCGTCAGTATAAACTGTCTTCTGCTTTGATTGCACTTCACGCATTGTTTCCTCATCCACAAGTTCACTGTTCACACTGATATGACCGGCATCGAGAATCAGACAAGTCGTTTTGCTCGAGGTAATATTTTCGGGCACAATAATGAGAGGTGCTTGAAGATCTAACTTGGCATTGATTGTTTTGTGCTCCTCGAGTGCAAACTCAAGTCCTGCTCGCGTCTGTTGTCTGAGTCCTTCTACTGTTGCTCCTGCAGATTCCATAAGAGCCCCGATAGACTCCATATGTCTTTCTGGTGGTTTGAAAAACTGGATTATACCCACAAGGAAATGGGGATTCCAAATTATCTCAAGCGGCTTGAGTTTTCCGGTCACTACAACATCGCCGGCATCATGCAAAGGATTCGTTTCAACTTGGAATTGGAAGAATGGGTCGGGAGTATCGTTAGACTCGTCATCATCGCCGTTAAGCAGAAGCTTCGTCTTGGGTGTTTCAGGAGCATCTTTAACGCGAACAATTTGAGGAAACAGACTATCAGGAGTCGTGCCGTCGTTCACTCGCAGGCCTCCAAGGCTTATATCCGCCAACATTGACTCGGGTCGCTGTAAGAATTTTGCTTTGAAAGCATCAAAGTAGAGACTGAGAACTTCGACCGTATTATTATGAGGGTCACGCTTGAGTGTGAAACTACCGGTATTGAGCGATGCCTCGATTTGCATCTTAACAGTCTCTTTTGGTAGATCGATACTTTCCGCAATTGCTGTTTTCTCGTTCCAATCAATAGCGTCATACAATTCTTTCCGCTGTTCCTCGGTCATGGTGGTTTCTTCGTCTTCTTCCTGTTCTTGTTGTTTCGCGCCCCAAGCCCATGCAACCCACCCTTGCTTTTGCTTCGGTGCTGCCTTTTTAATACCAACATTCTCTTTCTTCAATTGATTTCTGGCCAAGGATCTCCAGAAGCGTATATCTTCGTAGTCGAGTTTCCACTCAAGTTTATCCACCTCCTCGTTTTCTTCAGGTGATAGTGGTTCAGTCTGCTTCTTCTTTTTCTTGAAGAGCTCAATGTAACGAATTCGATCGTCTCGTCTCTCCTTGAAGAAGGCCCATGACCAGCGACGATTACGTTCATGAATCTTACTTAGGATAGCATTACCAGCAAACTTGAACCAAGCACGTGGATCCTCCTTCGGCCGAACTCCTTTCGGTTGGAATTTCTTATACTCTTGATGCAGGAGGAAGTAGTGGAATAAGTCGACCATCATCAAAGCATCTCGATATTGATGATCGTCAAGAACCACTCCAATTTCGTCGAACAAAAGCCCAGCCTTCATATGCGGTATTTCTATCTTACCGCTTTTGTCCATCTCGAGCTTCATCTGACCACTAACAGGCTTCAAAATAAACTGATGGTTGGCTTGTTTTGCATCTTCACCTCGCACAATCATCTCTTTGAATCTCGTCAACATTTCATCGTGCGATGCGACCTCCGGGGATGTAGATACATCCGCCTCTCGCCCAGTGCTCAACAATTCTGTATCCGTGTTCCAGTACACAGCCAAAGCACCAAGAGTGGCGAGCTTGTGTGTGGTTCCAGAAGAGTTTTGTATGTACGTCGGTTTCCAATTACCATCCGTACTGATTGCACTGAACTCTTGCAATGTAAGCCCGAGAGCAAATGGGTGACCAGGTGCCGAAATTGAGTCCTCATATCGTACGTGAATATTCTTGACCGTAATTTGCAGATTGTCGATGATTTTGGTAACCAAACTATCCGTGAAGCTCTGATTTTTCTGCTGTTCTTCCAAACTCATTCCCTCTTGATTTCTATCTTTCAGCATCTCGGCACTGTCCAACTTCTCGATCTTAACAACCTGCCTCCTCCTCTCCTCTTCCTCTTCATCCCACTCTGCATCTTCTTTCGGTGATGCGAGTACATATATATCTTCGATTTCGACTTGTACAGGTTGACCTCGCAGATTCGACCATGGTATCTTCAAGGTAAGTTGTCCCAAATGTCCCTCTACCACATTTATAGGTAGCTTTAGTTGATCCAAGGCCTCCCGTCGTAGCTCCAAATCTCGCAGCTTAACATCTCCAGACCAGATTCCGACTTTCAGTTGTCCAGGATCGAAATTCCGTATGTACATGCCCAGAAATCGATTCAGCAACGATGCAACCAAACCTTCCAACATTTTGAGTTCCTGTTGCCGTCACCCGGGCCGGGAAGCTCTAGATTAATTTGTTCGAAGAATGATGGTTGGCTTCCGCAATGGCGAATTTTCGAAGGATTATTGTGGAAAAGGTAGATTGAGGATCATTTAATCCATCACTTTGGAATCGAGACTTTCTTCGATCTTCGTGGCAGAACACGATTCGTTCTATTGTATTGATGGTGGTGGTGGTGGTGGTAGTGGTGGTAATATATGTGAATGTATCGTATGAGAGGGGTATTCAAAAATCGCCTCCAGCTGCAGTGTCCCACTGGTTTGTGTAAATAATTTGGAATAAAACAATAAATAGCACGCTCAATAAAGGCAGTCACGAAGGAATAACGAATTATCGGGATGATGTACGATGGTATAATATCAGAAGTCACCTTGAATAGAACTGAAGATCACAATCATAATCCCAATAATGATAATGCCACGTAAAATGGAATACAAAACCTGTAATCCTTCCTTCCAACCCTTTGAACATCCCGTCGTCCATCTATTTGGATGCGCTGTGTTCATTGGTGCGCAGACTTCTTTCTCATGAGCTTGAGGCCTGAAGGCTTGTATTGGGTATTGTCACTGTTCGCTAAGTTGACCTTGCATCCTCTATGGTGGAGTTGGTAGAACACACGACAGGGCATAATTGCACAGTTGCTCACAAGCTGAAGCTATCAACGATGACGTATGTATGAAAAGAGATCTTTTCTTCGGATTTTGTTCCCAAGCCATTACGAAACGACTATCTTTGGGATCCATTAACTATCCATTATTCATTATCCATACCGGTATCATACTTTTTCGCGGTAATCGATCGAATCTCAATTTTATCTATCTAATATGTAATTAATTGTTCCACACTGGCCAAAGCCAATAATAATAACTGCCTCCATTCAGATTTCCCGGTTTGTTTTCTCTCTGTTTACTAATTACATAGAGAGTTAGACTACAAGTACAACTACGGACTTTTCAAACCAATCCATTATTCTTTCCATTCCCCTCTTGGAATTTTCTTTCGTACACACGCTTGCAGAATACCTCCTTCTTGATTTATTGAAATTGTTTATTGAAGATACTGTTCAATATACCCATTTGTACCAATTGCATTCTTGAACTTCTCACATACATAAATAAATAATCGCGGGGTAAGGTGTTGTAAAAACCAAAACCATGCTTCGCACAACAGCTACACGCTCTCTCTTGAAGAGCTTCACAAAATTTCCCACCTCTCGAGCAAGCTATTCTCAAGCTTCCGCGGCTCTCAAAAATACTTCTTCTTTCCGCACATCAATTTCCAAACGCCCTGCAACCCTCTCCTCCCGTCTCTTCTATGCCACCAAGTCCGAACCTCCCTACGTCCCAGACCAAATAAACTTCAAAGAAGAAGACAGGATCGGAAAACAAACAATCGAAGCACATCCCGAGTCTGTATCATCACATTCCTCCGTTCGTCCCGTATTCGAAGAAAATCCACATCACGAAGGTCATGGATCTGTAAAAGATGATTTGGAGACTATCAAGGAAACATTTGCTCTACGAGAAGTACCCAAGGAATCTCTGATAATTGGTGCTGCGGGTGTTTTACCTTACGCTGCTACATCGGCTTCTACAGTGTATTTGGCTTATGACATCAATCAAGCTCATGCTACTGGACAAGGTATCTTATTTTCACCCGAATTGGCTCATCAATTGTTGGAATATATCACACCTATTCAAGTTGGATATGGTGCTGTTGTAAGTTCTTTTTCCTGATCCTAAATCACCAAACTATGACTAACTTGACGTATAGATTATTTCTTTCCTCGGCGCAATTCACTGGGGTCTTGAATACGCAGGTTATGGCGGACATCATAGTTACCGTCGATACATGATCGGAGTTGTTGCTCCCGCAGTCGCATGGCCTACTATCCTTATGCCAGTAGAATACGCTTTGATTACCCAATTCACCGCTTTCACATTCCTCTATTTCGCAGATGCCCGAGCAACAGTTCGAGGATGGTGCCCTCCTTGGTATAGCACATATCGATTTGTCTTGACATTTATTGTCGGAGCGGCGATTGTGGCAAGTTTGGTCGGTAGGGGAAGAATCGTCAGCCATGATAGACAATTGAGAAGTGCAGTTGACTATATCAAGGAGGATAGAGATGGTCAGTGGATTGCATTGGAGCAGGAAGAAAAGATGAGAAGGGCAAAGTTGGCTGAAGAGGAGAAGGCAGACGAGGAGGAAGAGGCACAAGATGAATCTGGAGACGAGGAGGAAAGTGATAATGAAGATGAGAAGAAGGATGAGAAGAAATAAATCACCATCCCGGTCGATTTGTACATACCTACCTTTCTCTCCATCTGCCTTCTTTATCCCCTTTTCCCCAACCAATTAATGTCTGACATTACTTCAGCTTCAATTCGGTCTAATCCATTTCCTGCAGAAGCATTTTCTAGTATTTAGCGAGTTAGCAAATCTAAAATAATTACAACAAGATTCTCATCACCATATCGCAGCTCAGTGGGGTATGTTCTACGCTGCCATCAGGATCTAAGTCTTGTTGTACTGAGACTTAAATTCCATCCCCGATTCCCAACAGCGAATATATTAATTTCGTCTAAACTCGGAATATCGTCGTACAACGAGGCATGCAAAACGCTCTGGGCTAAAATTAAAATGATAATGCATATATAACCATAGTCATACTGGAAGTGAAGAGAGATCCGTGCCATATCTTATCACTCTTATTCTAGAAGTTCTGGAAGTTCCGTAAAGTAGGCATAGGAGAGCTCATATGAAATGATTAGAGTTAGAGTGAGAACTAGTAGGTAGGTAGTCAAAGTACCATACCGGACCTTTGAGAATATAATTTTGTTAGTCAGAAGAAGATTGTTTAGGAGATTTTTAGAGTCGAGAGTTTAGAGTTTAGAGTCGTTGGGAAACTGGATGTCTAAGTATCTAAGTATCTAAGTATCTGAATACCTTAGTACCTAATAAGTGTTAAACAGAATGCATGAGAGTAATTCAATTCGAGATCCTCATTCATCATGATTCATTCAACATCTTCGAACCCCATCAATCAATCAATCAATATCTAAATCGAAAATTTGAACCTGGATTCAAAAATTTCGGGCTTGTTGATCTGTAACCTCACCCACCATATTCCAACCCAACCCGGAACTCTGAGGATTTCTTGTGATGGAGTGGATGATTGATTGATAGATAGATATATATATAGATAGATAGATCTCGATTCTTGAGGATGGATGGAAAGTATCTACATGCTATGTAGGTAGACCGCAGAGTAGATACCCATATCATACACATCAACATATCCCATTCAATAAAATATACTAGAATATTAATATCAATCAATCACTCACCATTGCAATCCGTCGATCCATCCTAGTTGTATCTCAAGCATGATTCTTAGTCCTCAGAATCCACTTACTAACTAACTCACTAGTTGACGATGAGAAATCGACGCTGCAAGAATTCTTTTCCCTTTTTCTATAATAACAGTAGCATGTAAAAGAGGATTTTTTTCCAATATATATGTATTACAAATCTCCGATACAATCAATTGGACATGAGGATTCTGGATATCAAATTCATATACGCGCGAACGAAATGTGCCGCATACAGATGAGTGGGAGTAATTTCACTTGGGGGCAAGGAATCAACTTGAAAGCAATATATATATTGATTCACTGCATCACTCGAACTTGGTAGGAAAAATGTATAGCTAGGTAGGTAGGGAGAAGAACTGATCTACACAGGGAATTGTCATATCACATCACATCACATCAGGCTCGAATCACACAATACAGCTTTCCAATATCTGATTGATTTTGATGGTAATCACCGAGCAAAACTCAGATGAAAGAGGACCATAACGAGGCCCATAACTATCTAACGAAATGTGATTCAAATTGAATCGATGTGGTATGTTATGATATGATACATCAATGCAGTCCCATCTGCATGGAATTTTATTCGAGCTCCGACTTTCCCGTTTGATTATCTCGCTTGATTGTCTCGCTCAAGCAAAACCAGACCAATCAAACCAAGTCAAATCAATCCAGCTCCCATCACATCGCCATTTGTAGATCACCTAGCGTGCCTCTCCTATTCATCAACTTTGTGTCATATTTGAATCCGTTATTCAGTTTTGTGGGTTTCTTCTTAGATCTTCGTTATGCTGAACTTCCGCTTAAACCACCGTGCAAATGCTGAAAAATCCTCCGCGGGTGACCGACTGATTTATCTCAATGTTCAATCCCATCTATGTCCACAAAAGGGGAAGTGGACGAAGAAAGAAGATAGAGAAAACGGTCTAGAATCTTGAAGTGATATCATGAGATATGAAGTGAAATGAAAGGATGTAATAATTTTCAAAAAAAGGGTAATTGCAGTCATCATGCATGATGATATGATGATTCAAAACAAAATGAGGACTTTTAAAATGGTGTTTACCATTCGTATTCTCCGGTTGCTTTGTGGAATACGTATTCCTTGTTATTGACAGTGAGTACACCATCTTTCATGACGCACTTCCTATATAACTAGTTAGCATGCGCATGATAAAAGAATACAGGATTCATACCACTTGTTCTTGACTCTTTGGACTTTGTCATACATGCAAAGCATAATGTGACCCATACTCTCGTCATCATCGTCGTCGTCGTTCAATCCGTCGTCAGGATCATCCAAATCAGAATTGATTGCATCTTCATCTAATTCATCCTTGACCTTTTCGTCATCATCATCAGAGCCAAGACCATCTGTTTGTGGCAATGAGCCTGGCAAGGTCTTGCGCTGGCGCTTGGTTGAAAGGATCTTATTGGCTTCCTTGAGTGGAAGCATTAGACCACCACCCTCCATAGCCTTGCCCATAGATTCGATCTTACTACGGATGAGATTGTCAATCTCGATTCGACCCATTGCAATTTCGTTGCCTTGAGAATCAAACTGTTTTATAACTCCAATAGATTCATCAGTCTCATCGCCAGCCCCGTCAGTTTGCGCACTTCCAACACCACCCTGAGGATTTTGTTGGGCCTGGGGGGGTTGAGGATTCTGACCATTCTGACCATTTTGGGGATTTTGAGGATTTTGGGGATTCTGAGGGGCTTGACCGTTTTGGAAGGCCCTCTGCTGTTGTAACTGCTGTAGCTGCTGTGCTTGCTGAGCTGCAACACTCTGTCTATAAGCCGCCGCAGCTTGTTGACTTTGTTGGCTTGGCGGACCCTGAGGTTGTCCTTGTGGCTGTTGTGGTTGAGCTTGAGCTTGGGGGGATACACCACTACCTGGTCTCTGCTGTTGTTGTTGTTGTTGTTGTTGCTGCTGCTGCATTGATTGCATTTGCAAATGTTGTTGTTGCTGCATCGCTTGATGCTGCTGTGGACTCATTTGAGACATGGGTTGCTGCTGGGGTGCTCCAGCCCCTCCTTGAATGGATTGGATCGAAGCTGCAGCTCTATGTCCATAAGAAGCATGAAGATTTTGGGCGGCACGTTGCTGAGCTGGTGTAGCATTTGGCATAGTCATAAGAGGGCCCTGAGGAGGTGCCTGTGACATCGGAGATGGCATGAAGCCTGCATTCTCCATACCAGGTTCAGCCTTGATACGAGGTCCATTTGGCATTGGAGTTTGATATATTGGCGGTCCTGGAGGTATACCTGTATGTTGGTAATTTGAAGGTACCATTGGTGGATTTTGCATAGATTGCTGGTCAGGCTTTGGATCCCATGGAAACAGAGCAACGCCCAGTGTTGACAACTTGTTTTGCCATCCCTTTGAAAATAATGTATTAGCAAGATTATTTATCAATTTTTCTTGAAAATAACAAGAGCTTTGATAGGAGAGCTTAAAGAAGTGAAATTGCAGGACTATAAGATTACGTGCGAGGACAATGATGACCTGGACTGCTACATGTGTACTTCCATGTACATCTATGCCCAAGAAGCACCACGTGATACAAAAGACGAAAATAGACTAGCTCAAGAAAAGTATTTTTCACAACCGAGAGGCTGAGGTCAAGGGTATAAAGCCAAATACAGAGGATCGCCCACCCCCAAAAAACTGGCCCGACTGTGCACAGGCAGCAATCAAGAAGCAACAGAAGAGAAAACCAACGAAACCAGCAACAAAAATTCATATCAGAGCAGAATCCAACAAAATGACATGCCAACGAAATCAGGACCATTCGAAAATCAAATAGTCATTCACGAAGAAAAAGAAATAAGAAATCCAACTGAAGACCTCATGAATTGCGCGATCGCAGAATTCAGAAAGTTGATGAGAGACTCAGAAACATACCTTTCTCAGTTCCTCCAATACAACTTCATCGACTCCACTCTCCTCGAAGTCAACTCTAGAGCTATCGACTACATCTGCAATAATCTGCTGGTAAACATTTCCGACCTGAGTGTTCGACATCTTGTTGCTTGCGTTGCTTGAGTACAATGGAAGAAGTATCGGTCGTGTGCGCAAATTGGATTCGTCTTCAGCTCTCTCCTCAACGATTTTATTCTTTACACGCGAGTAATCGAATTTGCAGATATGGAGCTTTCAATTCGTGTTACTCAAATATTATCAATCGGAGATCGAAAGCTGTGGAAAAAGGTAGGTGTTGGAAAGTTGTTGATGGAAATTGTACTATTTCCAGCTTGTGAAGACGGTCAGTCGTTGACTCGCAACAGTAATTGCCCCCTCCACAGTTATTTTCAGATTCGTAAATTTGTATGCCACTTTTTGATTGACTTAAGGATCTTCTTGATTATTTTATGTAACTTTGTAAACAAATTAAATGGAATTCTGAAATGTAAAGTGATATTGCTCTGTCCTGGCTGGTGGAGTTGTATGGGGGAAGGTCGCTTTCGTAGAGATATGGATAACCTTAGCCTGCTTTCGCTTATATAATGACTTAAGAGAGCCTGAAGGCTGAGTCTTCGCCTTTCTCTTTATTATTTCTTTCCAATTACTTGTTACAAATCGACAATAAATTCATTCATAATTATTGAATAATTGAGATTCACTCCCAAAAGCAATGAGAGTTCCTAGATTGATCTTCAGAAACTAATCTAATTGGGCTACGGGATCTCTACAGTTGAGATAATTGGCTGATTTACTTGCTGCTTCCATCGCATGTCTGAGACTTGAGGAGTCGGTCTTCATTTGAAGTATAGAGCATTTTCACAATGGGTAGATGAATCACTCCGTCACTCTTCATGTTGTAATATTCAATTGGTTCAAGTAATTTACATTTCCTAACAAAAATAACTAATACAAAGTCCCATCCGAAAAAGGTGTAC